CAGTGTAAGTCATTATAATCCGTAATTATGTCCCTACTGGATGCAACAAATGCCTCGTTTGTAATGGGTTTTAATGTTTATGTCTCGTCGCTCCGGCCGGACACGGCATCAACAGTATGTGAGGGGCGTAACATTTCCGTCACACGCTTGAGGTATTCGGCCAATCACAACGCACTGGATAGCTGGCCAATCAGAGCACACCTTGCTTTTCAGACCGATGAGCTTTGTAAAAATCTACGCGTTTCAGAAAGGCGGGGCATAGAGGAGAAACAATAATGTACAGTATGTGGAAAATAATGTTTTTTTTTAACCTTAAACCGCATAAACACATTTCACCACACCAAATACACAAAATAATGTTCTTTTTAGCAACATCATATGACCCCTTTAATTTCCTTCATCTAGTTTCCTGATTTATTATGTTTAGCCTATCATATACTGCATTGAAAGCAATGTAAAACCAACGCTTCTCTCAAAAGCGAAACCTTCAAATATTAACTCAAACAAAATTATTTTAATGTTTTTCTATTAAAACAACAACAATAATGGCTTTGTGACAGAAGTTGCACAAGTACATCTTTCAGCAGCAACAATCGCAAACAGTTGAGATCATTAAAGTTCATTACTGAGACGTTTTTATTGCAGATTTAGTTGCAGCAAACAGCAGAAACGTCTGTGCGAAGGAAAAAAGAAGTGCAAAAATTGCTAGTAAATTTCACAAATAAATAGCAAGTAACACAACATTACATTTTGAAGTAGAAAAACATTTTTAGAGATCTTTAGAGAATCTGTGCTAAACACAGTATAAAGAGTTTTGCAGGTTTTTCATGTATGTATTAATGGAACTTTTTTTTGTTATTCAGTTTAAAAGGGAACCCAGATGGATTTAATGGTGTACTTCTGGAGTGTGACAGCACTGTACAGGACTCCATTATGCAGCTTCTGAAAGTTTACAAGATACGTCGCAAAGTAAACTTCAGCTTGTGTCCCAGTCTCTCACTATGGGCTCTGTTACCTCAAAATAAAGCTGCAGTAGTGGGGCAGTCAAAGCCGGATGTTACTGCAGCAGATAAAGTGTTAGTACTGGAGCAAGACCCAAGAACTGAACTTGTGGGCTGGAGAATGATCAGTAGCTGTCAGAATAACCCACATGAGATCATCTCTGCTTGTCGAGAGGGCAACACTGAAGAATACCACAGACATCGCTATGAAATCGGTATTAAACCACTTGTATTATTACTTCGAATAATCTTGACAAGCTGATGCATGTGTTGATCATTGTTAGTCTACATTGTTCTGGACTTAAACATGCAGTAGTTCTCTGTCTTCTTAAGAAAGTGGATATGGATAATTGACATGTTAAGTGTTAAGCTAGTGTAACTAGCTATACTTCATCTAAACCTATTTTAGATGAATTCATCTCACGTTATTTTATATAAATGATTCAAGCAGCTTTATGACCTCAAATAAATTGAATGACGCTATACAATTTCTTTTTACTTTTAAAAGTACTTTTAAAATTCATTTGTCACACTGCTGGACCATGTAAGTAAATAATATAAAAAAGATCAGTCAAAAACCTAAAATATAGATGTTCCCTAATGCATACACCACTAGTGAGAAGTTAGTTATTATTATTATTATGTAGCTACAAAAAATGTAAACGGATCTAATATATTAGCTTCTTCAATACAGCCATCTTTTGTCTAGATTAGGCTTTTCTCAACCAGCTTCACAAAGTGGAATGATCTGAGATGCTTATTAAACACTACCTAAAAAATAATAATAACAATTAAGTTTATTAAATAAATTCATATGCTGGCACAGTTTATGTTTGTCTATAAAACTAATTTGAGCTTTTAAGCACAACATTTTAGATCAACTATTTAGAAGAATAAATTCAGTTAAATGTGTCCAAGCTTATGACTTGTACTAGTTCAAATATGAATATAAATTGTAGATATTGGTCCACTTTTTGACAGTCATTTTGATGTGAAAAAGTGGCATAATTCATGATCTATAAGTTTATACCTGAAATTTGTTTAATTTACCTGATGTATATATATATATATATACTCACATTCCAGATTTTCAAGTAATTGTATCTCGGCCAAATATTGTCCTATCATAACAAACCATACATCAGTGGAAAGATTATTTATTCAGCTTTCAGACGATGGTTTAGGGTCACATATGTTAATCTTAAGCAATAGTCATCATCAAAGTGTATAATGGATATTGTTTGGTAATAGTAGCATTTTGTCCATTTAAATGTACTAAAATAGTATTGAAGAGTCAGCACATCCTTTGTGATTGATCGTTTCTTGTAATCAGTTCTGTAATTTAACTAATTTCTACAGGACTGCCTGAAGGAGTGAAAGACCTTCCGCCAGGTGAGGCCCTTCCGCTGGAGTCTAATCTTGTCTACATGCAGGGAATTAGCTTCAGCAAGGGATGCTACATCGGACAGGAACTGACTGCCAGAACTCACCACACTGGTGTGATACGAAAGCGCCTAATGCCTGTTACCATGTCTGCTCCGGCTGAGACCCTGGACCAAGGTGCCGCTCTTGAGACTGAGGGGGGCAAACCAGCTGGGAAACACAGGGCAGGAATGGACTCGCTGGGACTGAGCCTCGTACGCTTGGCTCATGCCAAAGAGCCACTAAAACTTAAATCCTCTGACGGCATGACAGTGACTTTACAGGCTACTGTACCTGACTGGTGGCCAAAAAACAGTAAAGATCAATGAATCAGCAACACTAGAAAGGTCAAAGGCCCACCTGAATGAATTGTGATGCAGATAATATTTTAGTTAATTAAAAAAATTTAAACTACAACTTTCACACAGAAATCTGATGACAATGTTTTAGTTGACACCTTAAAATAAAATGTTTAAAAAATGTTTGTTATTTAAAAAGCTCTTTGAAATACTCTTACCTTGGTTTTGTTTAAAATAAATGGGTGCCAAATTTCCCCTATGTGGTATCCAACAATTATATGTGTGACCCTGAACCATAAAACCAGTCTTGAGTCGCTGGGATATATTTGTAGCAATAGCCAACAATACATTGTATGGGTCAAAATAATCGATTTTTCTTTTATGCCAAAAATCATTAGGATATTAAGTAAAGATCATGTTCCATGCAGATATTTTATAAATTTCCTACCATAAATATATCAAAACTTAATTTTTGATTAGTAATATGCATTGCTAAGAACTTCATTTGGACAACTTTAAAGGCGATTTTCTCAATATTTAGATTTTTTTGCACCCTCAGATTCCAGATTTTCAAATAGTTGTATATAGTCTGCCAAATATTGTCCTAACAACCATACATCAATGGAAAGCAATGGTTATTCAGCTTTCAGATGATGCATAAATCTCAATTTCAAAAAATTGACCCTTATGACATTTTTTGTGGTCCAGGTTGCATAAAGCAAACACATTACTGAAATTTTAAACACGAATAAGAAACATCTACTAAAACATTGTTTTATCATCTTTGATATAGCACTGGAAGGAGCATGTCAACATCTTTAAAGGAGAAGTCCAAGATTGTGTGCTCATAACCTAATATTTGTCATCAGTGTTGGGGGTAACGCATTACAAGTAACGTGAGTCACATAATCAGATTTCTTTTCCAAGTAACTAGTAAAGTAATGCATTAATTTTAAATTTACAACAAAATATCAGTGTTACTTTTTCAAATAAGTAACGCAAGTTACTTACAAGTTGCCATGTTGAGAGAAATTGGGAGTGAAGTGCAGAGGCACTTCCTTCAGCCTGAGGCTTATTAATTTCACTTTTGGTGTGAAAGGACCTTAACAGTTGCCAAAAATATAACTGTTTTTTGTAACGCCAAATTACATTTTATGGGGTAACACAATATTGTAATGCATTACTTTTAAAAGTAACTCCCCAACACTGTTTGCCATAATAAAAATATAATGACAGCATAAACGGCAATTAAATAACACAAATATGTTGTTAAAAGAATTTATTAACATTTGCCATAGCTGATCTTCCACATACAGTATAGCTTTTATACAATGGTTCGAACAGCCTCTCTGATCTCCTGAAGCAGTTCCTCAGGTTTGAAGCTCAGAGTTGAAGGGTCTAGTCTCTTAAAGTCTTCGTTGCTAAGCATGCTCTCAAATATATGCAATACTCTCTGAAGGTCAAAGGCCGCATGCTGAGGGCCTAAAGCAAACAGACTTTCGGCAAGGTGGTCTTGGCAATTCCCTGCATTTCTGGGACATGAATTTAAAAAGGACATTCGATTATTTGCAATAGTCTTAAGGAAAGAGGCAAACTCCCCATAATCGATTCCTGTACACGATTTCATGATCACCTGAAAATGAACATAAATCAATGTATTACCACAGGAATATTAAAATGATGTTTACAGGATTATGATTTTTCAGTAGTACTGCAGCACATAGCGAGTCTTTATTAGCCACATTTGTTGGACCTTTTGGACCTAAAAAGGTGATGACTGATGCCAAAAATAAAGAGTTACCTGACAATGCTGATGCCAGCTATCCATGGTATCACGCCATTCCTCGATTTCTCTCTGGACAGAAGAAAGTTCTTCTTGCAGAAGCTGCCACATGATATCCAAATTACAGCCATTCAGCCAGTTATGATTGATGGAAATGGTATCCACCTATTATTAAAAGATGCATTATTGAAACTTGAGTTAGCAAGTTGGTCAAGGAAGATTTTCTCTTTAGGGGCTGGAGAACCAAAAGAGCTTGATACTACAGTCTTTCATAAAAATGTCAAAGATAACGTCTAGTACAGAGGTGTCCAGTCCTGCTCCAGTTATCAAGGTCTTGAGGATTACAAGACTGCACTCCTGAGGTAGATTACTTACACATTGTAATCCGTTATTGATTCCACATTACATGACAAAAACTGTAGTTAGTATCGTAATCCATTACATTACACATTTCAGGTAATATAATCAGACTACTTTTAGATTACTTTTAAACACATTGATTTAAATAGGATAATCTTGTACAATATCTATATAAAAATGCATAGAAAAAGAAAATATATTCCATTCGTTGTTATTGACAACATGAAGTGCATTAAACATTACATTACCAAGGAACTGCAGGGTGTATGTGAGTTTAATGAAAAGCAAATAATTAAATAAATCATAAAAATGTAAAATTAGACTAAATTATTTTAAAACAACATCAATCAAAACACTAGAAAAATTTTATCTTGTTTACCTGCATGTCATGTGACCATTAACCAACGTCAGAGAACCTTGAACATGCAAATGTGATACTTCATTATTAAAAATATTTATTTTAAAATCTCAGGGATACTGTAAATTATTATATTAGGTGAAAGGTTTGGGAATCCCTGAATTACATGTAAATAAGAAATAACATGAATTTGTGCATTTCAATGTGTTTGAGAGACAAAAGCCTTCTAAAGACAAAGTAATGCATGATATTAAATAACCCTCTGAGTGATCATATAAAAAAAATCAGTTCATTAGTAGTTGATGTAATGTTGAAATGCTAAGAAAACACTTCTTAAAACTGAAATGATTTTTTGTAAATCCAGTGGTCAAATGCTGTGTGGCCTCTCAAATGTCTGTGTAATTAGCCTATATCCACCTGACTAGTGACTGGTCTTTGTGGGAATGTCCACAAAACTGGAAGACGTTATGAATGTACATAAGTCGTAGGGTGTTTTAGAAAGAAAAATGTAAAAGATGAAAAAGAAGAATTAGGCACAATCAATAAATTAGGAATAATGTATTGCTATTGAGTGAATAATATGTAATCATGAAATCAATAAAAATGTATTGTCCTATTATGCTTTTTAACTTTTTCAACTTTAGTTAGTCTGTAATGTTGCTGTTTGAGCATAAAAAAAGATCTGCGAAGTTACAAAGCTCAAAGTCCAATTCAAAAGAAGATATTTTATTTCTGTCAAATCACTTTTCAAAAACTACAACGAATGACTCGTTTGGACTACAACGCATATTTTCCGGGATTTGTGATATCACAAATATCGACGAATGGGATGAGACCTGGTTGAGCTGCACTAGAGAAGACAACGAGTGTTATCACCTTGTCGGAGACGCGCTAGCTTTCACAAGGCAGACGAACTTAGAGTGGTTACAATCATCTGGGTTTAAATCGCGCTAAAATTTATTTGATATTGACGCAATATTTGCACTGAAGCTCGCAGCAGGCGGCTATGGTATGGGGCATGACATTTCCCGACCAGGCGCCGAGTGCTGCCAATCACAACACACACTGGCCCAGCTAACCAATCACAGCACACAATGGCCCAGCTCACCAATACCTTCATTTGATACAGGAACTATTCGAGCCGTTCATGCCAGACTGGGGAGAGAGGTGTTGTAATAATGTAAAATATGGGAAAAATAATGTGTTTTTCGAACAACCTAGTATGAGAGCCTGTTCTAGTACACCCCCAAAACAAAATCAAGACTTTGTAAAAGAGCATAATAGGACCCCTTTAATATGTAATTTAATCTAATTACAAGTACTTAATTTTTGGAATCTGATTACGTAATCCAGATTACATGTAATCAGTTATTAGCAATTATATTGCTATTATATATCATTTATTACCAGCTCTGCTGTGCTCCAATTTTATTTTTGGGTCAATCTATCTCAAGTGGTTCAATTTTGGTTGCTTGACCATTTTTCGTTTTCCTAATTTTTTGAGTGATAACTTCTATGTATTAGTATAGCAAAACCATCCGTTTTTATTTTTAATTTTACTTTGTGTCATGGCCCACAACAAATTTTTGGATGTACACAAAATTTACCGAAAACCTCAATATTTCAGCTCAGGTCTTAGCTCCTTGAAGCAAAAACTGATCTCTAATGCACATTACATGGTAAATGTATCTAAATATTTAGCACATTCTTGTTCCTTAGACTTAGAATTTAAGACCAAATGTATTGATCACTCAATGTTCCACTTCTAGGGTCAGCAAGTTCAATTTTTAATGATTTCCCTCAATTTCAGGCTGATTATCTCTGGTGGGGGACCAACCAGATAGGAACCTGAAATTTTCAGAGATATACGTCCTCTATGACATTGGCAGCGTTCTGCTGTAAACATTATGAGTTTCTGAGACTCTGATGGTTACACAGAGCTTGGGCTAGTGGAAATCGGTGGAAAAACTAAGGGAATAAAATTTTATGTGTGTTTGAGAAATGAACAGATGTAATATAAGCACTCAAAATAATACTGTATAAATTAACTTCATTTACAGTAATTATGCTTATGACTGACACAGAATAACTTATTCTTGTAAATGAGATTTAAAACGGTGATTCTGGACATTTCTTAACCCTCCTGTTGTGTTGAGGTCAATTTGACACACAATTTTCAAACTGCTCAAAATAATGGTTAAACTATTTCTTCTTGACATTTTTGAGTGTGTTTAGGTGTGTTTTAGAAATGCAAGACAACTTATGAAATTTAAGACTTAAGGTTTACTTGAAACTGAAACTCATTTTCTGAATTGTCACTGTTTCTTTATCTAGTTGAGTTACACAGCCCAAAAAATCTGGCCAGGGTTTGAGAAAAACACAACAAAAAGACAGAGCAAGTATAAATACAGCAATAAATACTACGTGCATTGAGTACAAATAATATTAGATACTGTTTATATTTACTTGTAGTTATTTGCACCCAAGTGTGCAACTACAAGTAGTCACAGCAAAAAAGAAAAAGAACAAAAAAAAGTTTTTTGTATATGCAGGTCATTTTTAACATAAAAATGTAGGTTAAATTGAACCCCAATGCAACAGAAGTAACACAATAAAAACAAATAGAAATGTTTGTATTTCTCACATTTTCATATTTTTTTACTCTCTGACAAGCTAGAGGTTTTCTGTAGAAAATTTCCAAGCATGTGTATTTGGGCAGATTGGAGCAAAACTCTACAGGACACTGGTCCTCCAGGAGTAGGACTGGACACCCCTGTTTTAGTACATTAAGCATATATGGACACCATTAAACAATTATTCCTTACCAAATTGTAAACTTGATGATGCCAACCACTAGGTACAAAGATGATCTCTCCAGCTTCTTGAATGATCTCTAAAGGCTGACAGGCCTCTTCAAACTGTGGATACAGACCCTTGTCTTGAAGTACGGGTGCTGTTACGTCATAGGCCAAGTTGCCGTGACAGTCCCGAAGAAACTCCTCTTGGCCTGGAGGGTACAGGAGCCATTTCTTACGTCCACAGATGTTGGCAGACCAACTGTATGAGCGAAACACGTCTGCATGGAAAGGTGTCCTAGAGGCAAGAACAAAATCACTGATACCCCTTTTCCACCAAGGCAGTTTGAGTGCTGGTTCGGAGCCAGAGCCTAGCTTCGGTTCTTTGTCTTTCGACACCCAAAGCACCAGCTCCGAACCAGGAAAAGTGGTTCGTAAGTAGCACCAAAACATTGCTGGTCTAGAAGTAAGAACCGCTTGCGTCAGGGACTGGGGGCGGGGATACCGTGACCAACAAGTTGAACAGAAACTTTTGACTGCCATTTTTGAAATCGCAGCTAAACACGAACACGTCGAATTCGCCGCGGTTGGATGACGATGTAGGTTCGCATAGCCATGAACATCGATAGCAATGCAACGTCCGCCATTGTTGATGGTGTGTTTAGGCTTGTTCGGGCTGCATCGGCGCTGCGAGGACCGGTCGGTGGGCCGCAAGAGGGATTGGAAAGTAGACGACTCACTTTATGCTTTTGGATCGCTTTCGCGGCGCTTTAGTGTCGTGCGCCGATCGGTTTGCATGCTGCCGATGCATCTTGAACAAGCCTGTTGTGTTTGGCATTACTGGGAAAGATGAGACGTATTTAGTAATGTAAGACCTGGCTCTGTGGTGGCTCTCTAGCCCGTGGAAAGGCAAACCGGTTCTTAGAAGGCTCTCCAGTTGAACCAACTCCGAACCGGCAATAGCACTGGCTCTGAACTAGCACCCGGTTCATGCTGGTGGAAAAGGGGTATAACTGCATGACATTCAAAGGGGTGACAAGAAGTTCATATGTTCAACCTTAAACATTGGGGGTTCAAAAGCCTGAGATCATTCATCATCTTCTAGTTTAATATAAAACTTAGAAAATGTATATAAAAAAACATGTATTCCAAAATTTCTTAGCATTTGGTATGTCTTCTTTTTGCTTTAATGACAGCACATTATTTAAGAATGTTCGACATATCGAATTTCCAATGGAATCTGACTTTTTGTGCAAATTACATAATGCAGAATAATATTTCCTAAGTTTACATCATGATGTTCAATTGCATTTCATGTTTCTTCAAAACCCCAAATCTCACCCAAAATTATTTATAGGACCAATGTAACAAAAAACAGACTTTAAATTTGGATACAGACTTTTACACCCTTACGACTGTATATGATAAATAAATGACACAGTACCATGACCCCTTAGGTCCCATGTAGACAAACCGATAATCATCCACTTCAATTGTGTCCCAATATTCATTCAGCCAATCAGAGGAGAAGTAAATTGGCGTCTTGTAAGAATTATGTTCAGGAAAGTTCCTAAAATGAACATAAACATATTCAACATTATGACAGTAAAATCATTTTACGCACCTATTCTTTCTTTATTTTACTACAGTGTTTCCAAACTAGTATTGTGCATCACATTCAAAGCTATTGTACAATAACCCATGCTACACGCTTTTGAAGAGCTGTACCTTTGCATATGCCAGTCCTTTAAGTAAAGGCATCCTTTTGGTGAAGAATGCCCATTCTGAATGTACTCTCTCCAGTACTGGATAAACTCCTTAAAAGGCATGATCTGCTTCGGGTTGGAGTTGTATTCTTTTGCACTGCAGTTTGCAACAGGAACAGGAGTCTCATCTGCATAATAAAATGAGGCCATTTGTGGATATAACATATTGAGTACACACATATATACATTTACCAGCAACTGGTCAACTTTCAAAAATTGGTATTCAACAATACACAGCAAAATGATTTTACAGACTTCTAATTTAGTCAATTAAATTTTAATCTAGCAATGTAAGATACACGTTTCAAATCACCCTTAGAGAAGCTGAAAGGAAAATGTTACAGTTCTGTAATACGCAGTTATCACATATATTTCCTCAATTCCTCCGATTTTAGAGAACTTAAACAATCACCGCTGCGTTCAGTCTTTGGTTCAGCTGTGTTTACATCGCTACGACGCGACAGGGAAACAGAGTCTGATGGGTTTTTTTTACGTTTCTTCTTATTTAGGGCGTTGTATTAAACGTTAACGGGACACACTGAGGCGGAACAGTAAATGTCTCGCAACTGACTACGATGCGTAGAGATGTTATTGTTTTAATGCGTGAAATACGTCATACCCTGCTGTAGCTGTCACTTGAAAGTCAACATCATCCTAAAAGGTATGGCATAAATGATCTCCACGGTGTTTGTTTTGCGTATATTACGTAATGCCAACCACACCAGTATCTACTGTTACTGCGCATACAGAATCACGTGAAAAAAATCAATGTAAAGGGTCTTCAAATAATGTTTTTAAATCAAAAATTGGATTAATAAACCACTATTTATTTTGTGATTCATGAACTGAATGTTCTTCTATAAAAACGAAAGAAAAGAAGGATTTCAATTCTTCATCTTCATTTAGTGTGTTTGTTTTTTAAAATAATTTAAATTAAGCAAGATTAATATTAATTAAAATAATGTATTAATGAAAATAATCTTAAATGTTGTGGCCCCGTTGGAAGTTTGTCGGGGCCCCCTGCTTTTGTGTTCCTCTTAAAGAAAATTGCACAGAGCTGTGTTTCCCCGAAAGCATCGCAAGCTTAAGTTGATTGTAAAACTATTATCACTAATGGAACTACGATCAACTTAGGTTTACGATGCTTTTGGGAAACGTAGCCCAGGTTTGTAGCAACATTGTTGTTGAGAAAATAACAAGTATGCTGTTCATGTAAGTAAAAGTGACTGAGGATGACTGCGTGCTTACTAATTTTCTATATACACCACTCACTTGGCAGGTGAGCTCCCTAAGTCCAGGCCACTGTGCCAAATCATCAGAAAAGATGAGCCAGGAGACATCCATCCATAGCTGGCCCGGCTCTTATTACATCAACAGCGAGAAACGCTGGGCCAGCGGCATCCTCTCCTTAAGCCGCACCACCCTACGCTTCAACTCTGAGCCGAATCAGGAGAATCTGATTAGCCTGAGGCTCTCCCGTATCATGGAGATCAAGATGGAGTCATCCAGCTTCATTTTCAGTGCTCTTACTGTGTTGGAGCAGGGAAACATCAAGCACTGGTTTGGCTCTCTCAAGCCTTGCCGTACTGCCGTTTACCACGTGCTGGAGCACTTCTGGAGGGAACGGCTGCTGTCACCCACAGAGCCCCGTGGAGCTGAAGCGCCTCTTAGTAAGGGCCAGGAGCTGATCAGCCTGATATCTGGAGCCCAGCGGAGGCTGGAGGATACTGGAAGAGTCCTGAACCACCAGGAAGAGCAGTTTGACAACATGATTCAGGGCCTGGACAAGATCGAGTCAGACCTGAGTGTGGCAGATAAGTAGGTTTTGCTCAGATTCAGAAACTGTGATACATAACTTGAACTAGAGACATGAATGATACTTTAAATTGTAATGAGGTCTTTCACGGCTTTATTGTGCTTCTAATAACTCATTTTAATTCAAGTTTTCCTTTCTCTTTGGAGTGTTACAAGCTGTCCGTGAATAGATAAGATCCCTAAAGTTGCAAAGACTAAAGTCTCAAACCCAAAGAGATATTCTTTATAAAAGTTAAGACTCGTCCACGTCTACCTAAAATGGCTCGTTATAACACGCCCCCACATGTCTACGTCAC